TAAGATGCTACAATGACAGCAGAAGTCTAGGCAAGTGAAACATATGCCATTCTGGAGTGGCAGGAAAGCTCTAGTGACTCGGATTTGCTCCTTACGGACATCCAAAGCGAGCAGAGTAATCTTCTCACTGTTTCTTACAGTTGTCACTGAGAAAAAACAGTGTACAAAGGTTGGATGGCAGCAGAGAGGTAGAGAAAGCAGGCACAAGAAATCTGAAAATAAAAACAAACTCCTCTGTACCTTGCACAGATGGGAGGAAATTTCTCTGTAAAGTTCCCATCATCACAGAAACCCCTTCTGCTATGTAAAGAAGCAATTTACCTTTGAGGTGGAGAGGAAATACAGCAGAGGGATAAAGCAAGATAAACATAAAGTGTGGATCAAAGAGAGAGAAAAAAAAAAAGAAGGTAAAAAAGTGGAAAAGCACTGATGGGGGAAACTGGGTGAAAGACAAGGAGGAACTGTTAACAGCTGAAATAAACATTTTATTGCATCCGCACTTAAATTTAAGCACTTTAAACACCGGGGTGACTGCTAAGTAACTCCCTTTGCAAGGAGCAGATTTGTGACTAACATCACAAGAATCAACAATGCCCAATTTCACTGCCAGCAGATGCGCGGCAGTTATCAGGTGCAGATAAGGTGACAATAATTGGTCAATGAGTTTTGAGGTCAGCAGTAATGCCTGTGGTGGAACAAAAACACAGAACATATGGCATTTCATGTGCTGAAACTGTCAGACTCATAATTAACTGATTAGAGTACATATGGTGCTCACAGACAGTGTAAATCTCTCAATGTAAAAAATGCTGGAGACCATTGAAGGTGTCAGCATGAGTCTTCCCTGCAAATCTCTCTTCATTAAAGTTTCATACAGAGCCAAGTGTGTTGTAATAAAATCGCTATTAATGGAGTTATATTTATGATGATTTCTCTTTTGTGCAGCTGCATTTAACTTTTCAAACACTAAACTCCACATCAGAGCTTTTTCACAGTAGCTGCTGCATGACAGAAGCTTCTTGTTTTGTCATATTTACCTTGAGATTAGAAGTAATGGGAGCAAGGTAGTAAAAGTTAACCATGGTTGGCAAGAAAACTGTTAATATCACCAGTATCAAAACAAAAACTCATGCCCTGACATAAATACGACTACAATTCTGTTTATTTAAGTGTTTATAGCAGGCTGGCCAGGGACAAACTCATTCCCTCTTCAGTTCCAAAACACACTTTTAAAAAGATGGCGAGTGACACTTCATTAACCACGTGAAATAGGCTGACAACAGCCTGCTTGCTTTTCCAGCCACCATTTCAGATGGCGTTCTTCTTTGCATCTCCCTCCTGCTTTACATTCAACACTCCGTAAAGTGCTTTCTTCAACCAGATCAGTGTTGTGGAGTAGGGCGTGAGGCTGGGGGCGGGCAGTTCTGGGAGCATAAAGCAATCATTTTTGGTCCCAGAACAGACTATGTGTTTGCATGTCCATGCATTAGAGATCCAGCTTTTCTCATCAGCCATCAGTGAAGGGGATTTTAAAAGTTCCCCCTCAGCCTTTCTTTGTCTTCCAGCTCTCTGCCCCATCAGGCTCTGATAGGACTAGTTCTTACGCAGCGACACTGAGTCTCTGAAGTGATCCGGGGTGAAAGCATCCTTCTGTATTTTGGTTTCTAGAAAGGTGCCTGTAATCCAGGCAATGTCTGCGATGCAGATGCAGCAGCGCTCCCAGCAGCTGTCCTGCCCAGCAAGGGCTGGGGAATGAGGGAGTCAGGCACGACTCAGTGTATCACCTAACTCCATCCTCCCAGCATACATTAATAAACCACTCACACGCAACCCTCCAGGGCTTACACACTCCTCTCTCATTCTCTGCGTTCTTTTTAACGGCTTCCTGCCTCCATTTATACGTCAAGCAAAGGACTTATCAGAGACCTCATCTCCCTAATGAGTTAAAAGCTGTTGCCTCAGCCCAAAATCTTCCTAGTGCCACGCAGTTTCCTCCTCTTTCCTACTGCGTTATCACTATCACCCCATCTTCACCAGAGAGCCTCCTGCCTCACACAGAGCTGCTACTGGAATGGATGGGAAAGTCTCCATTTTCAGAGTAAGGAAAAATCCCTCTTAAGAACATCCCTTCTTCCCTCTATGGCCTTTATTCAGAGGTGGGGCTGCTGGTAACAGTTTAGGGCAGCCAGAAGAAACAGAAAAAAACAGTATCAAAGGGCTCTCTGCTAGGGAACATAGAAAGAGATTTTGGTAAATTAAGTACTCTGTAGCAAAAAAGGAGAAAAAAACTTGATAAAAGAAGTCAGGGAAGAGAGACATGGTGCATGGTGTGAATTTTAAGGTTTATGAACAAAGCTGAAAGGTAGAAGCTAAAAAATGTAATGCAAGAGGATGCATTTGCCTTAGAGGCTCTAAGGGCTTTTTTAAACTCAGGATGCTCCTGGACCACAGCAATACCTGCAGTGCACAGGGACCGTGCGAAGGCTGCTCCTGCAACAACCACACAGCATTCCCAGTGTATGCTGAGCTGCCAGAAGCACTCCTCTGTGAGCATAACTGTGGTTGCCCACAGTGGTATATCCTCTGTTAACTAGGGATTTAATTGTTTTCCGCACAGTTGGTCAAAAACTTAGTCTAGCAAAAAGTAATAGTGTCAGCCTGGCCTTTTCAGCTCAGATCCATAACTCTCTTCCTTTGCAGCCTCCCCAGACCTTACCTGGATCTAATCAAAATAGTTGTGCACATTGTTGCTTTGCTGCCACGTGCGTGATGCTCACAGATGGGCTATTCTCATTCTTCTGTGCCACTCTACAAGCTGATTGTGTGCTGCCCTCCCAAGCCCATCCACACCAGGGGCTCCCAGGATGCCCCGACCCTTCTGCCACACTTGACTTAAATGTGTCGAGTTCCCTTTTTCCTTCCTCGTCCCAGCCCTCCGCATCAGAGACTGTTTTTCCCACATCTCAGAAACAACTGAGGCTCCAAGGTGCCTCATTCCTGCTGTCTCCTCTGTTTGTGAGATGAGTCATGCAGGTGTCAACATTTCCAAAATTTGTACAGAGGCTGAGAGGGTGCAGAGCATTATGTTAGAAGTTATTAATAGCTGCTATTGGCCAGTTCTTTGATCTACAGACAGTTGATTACAGCTGCTGCTCCTGATGATGAGACACCAGGAGTCCTGCCTGTACCTCAATTTTCCTTTCCAGTTTTCAGATTTTTACTGAAACAAAAAACTTTCCCCCAAAATTTCAAAATAGATGGGATTCAGCAGTCAACACTACAGTCAGAAAGGCAAACACAATCAAGTGAAGTATAAAGTTTTACTTTACAAGGGGAATATCAGGTCTTTGAATCCTGCTTCTAGCAAGTCTTTGAAAGGCTTAAAGGTTGACATCACGCAAAACAAACCTCCAGAGAACACAGCTCCTTTCCAAAGTTTTCCATGTAGCCCTTAATCCACATCCATGAAAAAAAACTTAGAATTTGTTCCCTATAAATAAAAGGGTGTAGCAATTGGTTCGCACGCTCTTCCGTGCTTTCACCTGAAGAAGAAAAGGTAATTCATTATTGCCCAGAGACACCATGCACATCTGACCCATTCAGGGAAACAATTCAGGAAATCTCCCTGCAACAACCTAGCGCCACTGTTGGAAACAACTAAGAATACAGGATAAAATAGCCACCTATCATTTTATGTCAGCATCATCTAATCCTGCTCTGTCTGGTGGTAAGCAAAATAGTGATCAAAAGACAACATAGAGAAACATTCTGAGACAGACAAATTCAGGCAAATTTCCATTTCATCTGATGTTACCAGCTAACTTCTCTATCAACTTGCCCAAAACTTCACAGAATTCCTTTTCTGAGAAACAGGGATGAAGTGGATCTATACCATGATACTGATCGATACCACACTACTCTGCTCTGCTTGCTAAGGCTTTAAAGGACATTGGAGCCAGTATTGCCTGACTTAAGTCCCCACCTACCAACACAAGAAAAGAGCGTTTTTAAGGATGCCAGAAGCAACAAAAAGGTTTGTGCACAGTAAGACAATCCATTCTACAGCTTGAACATGAACCCAAGGAGCATCAATTTCTACAAGTTTTACTCCATTTGAATTATGGCATCTATAAATCTGTACAATGGTGGAACTAAGCATGAAGAAAGGAAAACTCACATACTTATGACTATTGTAAAGCCTATGTAATAAAACTGCCAAGCTTTAAGATCACAGACATATTCCAAATATTTCAACTCATGACCACAAAGCCCATTCCACTACAACAAACTACAACAGAGAAGAGAGGAACTATCTGGCAAACGCATGCTAACATTTACCTCATTACAGTCACATTTCAGGTTACAAATTTTCAGAGGGAACTAAAAATAATACAAGAATTCCTTCAAGAAATACTTCTATCTTTGGAAACAATGTTTTTTCTTAGAGAAAACCTAACAAAAAGCATTTAATAGAGTTACTGGTATTCTGGGGTTTTCAGGCCCAGTGCCAAGAAGTAAAGAATTAACAACAGACACATACTTTACTTCTTCAACCCTTGCAGTAAAAGCTCTTCTAAACACACACTCACTCACACTGTGTACAGAAGAGCCTTGCTACACATGCGATATAGTGAATCACTTAGACTAGACCACAGAGAAGACACCACACCTGCTACAATTCATTACCCCTTTACTTGCCCTTTACACAACTTGTCCTTTACACAACCCTTTAACCTGCAGGGACTAGTTGTGACTCCACCCGTGCAGTATAGCCGTGCTTAACACAAAGCAGACTCATCACACCCAAAGATGATTATTCTTGACTCCTGCCAGCTCCAGGTGCAGAATAATAACTTGAGAGTCTTATTGATCCTGGAATTTTGAAGTCTGAATTTTGCAAATCTCTTTTCTGTGAGAGCAGACCACATCACTAGGCAATTCAATCTTAAAGGTCTCAACTACTTCACCCCTGGGGTTAGTGCATGATGGTTCTTTATTACCTCCAGCTCAGTGTTATGAGCATGCAGTTTCTGCACCATCTCCTCAGCCTCACGCATACGGCGGTTCAGTTGGGGCGAGTGCTCCGAAGGGGTCAGCTCGCTGTCGTATGACTCCAGAATTGCTCGCATCCCATCACGCTCCTGTCAGGAAGAACAGAAACCACCTTTAGGGTTAAAGCCCCTGAGCACACTCCGAGGAGAGGGTTTCCAGAACAATATTTGGTATTTTTGCCCATTGTTCCTTCACATGGCAAAGAAACCCTGAATGGATATACACCCATCGTCTTCATATTGGCATCAAGCCACAGACGTGAACACAGAGTTCTAATAAAATAAATGTTGCTGCTCTGAAAATTGAAAAATTGGGCTGTCTTGTGTATATAAAACCACATATCCCTTGCAGGAAAGCAACATGCATGCACTCTAACAAGCAGATGGCAACTGAAAACAGAGCCTGCCTTCTTTTTGGAGACATTATTCTAATTCAACATGGCTGAATGGGTTTCTTCAGCAAAATATTTAGTGTAGTACTTGACATTTTTCCTGCCAAAGAGTTCCAGCAATGAATGAACAGAATTGTCACAACAGAAATGAAACAGATTTGACAACGAACAAAGTGGCTGAGAGCAAATATCCTCTAAATGGTATGTGACTTATCACTTGTAAAACACTGCAATGCTCAGTGTTTATAATAAATACTTTTTCAGAGGTTAATATCTCGCAGACAAAACGTGTGGCTCACTTCGCTCTTTGCTGGCAATTATAACCAAGCATTTGCAGAGAAAGACAAAAAGGAGGATCCCTCTCCCCTCCCTGAGAGCATTCGCACTCCCAGGTATAAAGCTGGGGCTGAAAGCTAAAGGTAAAATTTTTGTGTGGGGCCCTGGTTGAAGTATTTCCTAAAGCATTCCCAACTTCAGACAGCACCTAATGCCCACCTCCAAGGCATTGATGGAGAAGAAGAATGAGGACAAAAGGCTGAAAATTTCAAAAAATCAGGTGTGTTTTAAGGAGATTACCGTTTATGGTGCAATATGCATACAGGGATTAGCCAGCTGATGAAGTGTTTTATCTTTTGACTACATGGAAGAACCTTGATGTTTGTGAGGCTACAGAACAGGGTCAAAGAAGCACAGGCCCTGGGTATAAATCCAAAGAACAAAAACTCCTAGGAAATCTTACAGTGCTGCCTCCCTTCATTGCTGAAGTTTGCTACCTTGCCCTGTTACAGAAATACTCAAGGGCTCTGGACAAACCAGTTCTCTCGTGTGAATTCTGCCGCCACAAAACCCCGAAATATTATTAGAAGATCACTCAGCTTTATAGCTGTGCAGTTCACATCCATACCAGGCCACTGCCGCTACACTGAACCCGGAGCACTTCACAAACCCAGCTTGGCCACACTGAAATGCTTCGCTGGGATCCTGCTCTCTTGGGGAAATCAGGAATTGCCAGGGTAGAAAAAAAAATATCCTTTCCTCTCACCTCCCCCAATGAAACAGGATGTAGTTCAGATAATGAAGGTGATGCTAACTGCTCAGCCAAGCAAGCCCGTATACAAAGGTTATCTCCTCCTTTCAAATCTAAAGGTCAAAGACTGAACATGGATAGCAAGTGTATGCTTGGAAAAGGGAAGGAACATTCAAATTTAAGGTGTGAAAATAAGATGAGGGGCACTGCCAGAGGTACAGCGTGTGTTCAGAGCACGTCACGGATTGAAAGGTCAGCCAAGATGGTTGGGTTGGTCAGCAGGTAAAAGGACCCCAAGACCAAAGGACAGCCTGAGGCTGAAGGAACAGAGATAATAAAATAATAAAGAAAAACAGGTTTTAACATAAATTGTACTAGAAGCTATTACTAGCTCCTTGCTCAGGTCTGAGTGTAGAGAAATACTTTTCCAAGGAAAGAATTATTCATCTGACAGACATATGAAGGGAAATACTTCCATGTTACTGCAGAAGGAGAAAACTCAAACCCAGCCCCAGGACACCTGCCTTGTAATGAACTTGTTTAGCAGAAAGGCAGCAGTACAGGATCGCTCCATCCTCCTCCTCCCCCTCCAGCGTACACACACATCACCCAGCCTGCCCAGTCCACTCTCCATAAGGCAAACTGCTTTTGCGCAGGAGATGACTTTCATTCCCCATTTATTGTAGAATCATTGTCTAGAGCACAGAAGAGAACGTAATGACAGCGTTTAGCGAAGGTATTGGTTTGATCTTTGCATGTTGTTGCAATTAGATCTGCAATTACAGCATCCTCTCTCCTTCTCTACTCCTAGCTGCTCCGCTATCCTCATTTTCTAGTAAGCATATTTCATCGATGTAATAATTTAACACTGGAACGTTCTCTCCATTACGGGAGTGCAGTCCCAAAATCCTTAGCATTTTTGCAACAGCAAACAGGACCTCTAGCAATTCCCATCACACTTGGCTTCCAATTAACTGCTGAATATTAGGTCATTCAAGTCATCCCCAGCAAGATCCTAGCCGTTCCCCAAGCTGTTCAGCTCCAAGGAGGACAAACTTCTGCTTTCATGTTAGGATGGGAAAACTGCATGCAAGCAGGACATCCCTACAGGCTGTCTTTCCCTTAAAATCAACTACAGACTTTGCCCTTCAAAGCCTTTCTCTTAAAGGAAGAGTAAACTTCTCTAGAGAAAACACGCACAGTAAACACAGAACAAGCTGTATTGGAAAAAAAGGTGCTGAAAAGCTGAAATAAAGGGCAGTACAATTAAACACTTGATCCTGGAGTTTAGTTCTCCTCTTTAATTATTTCTAAATATTAATACTGTAATGAAATCAATTCTCAGCTTCCAACAAGTGGTCCCCAGCTCCATTTTTTAAATTTCTCCCCATCAAGAGCACTTACTGAAAGCTTTTCCCTCCCTCCTAAAGATCTTGTTAGTTTGGCAGGAAACAGAAGTTCTTGTTGAGAAGTCCTCTGTCTAAAAATTCCCTGAAATGTAATCCTAATTTAGTAATTGCTGCAATATCTCCTCATCCCACACGACAGGATATTCCCCAAGCCCCATCAAAAACCTCCCCAGGGACTTTAAGATGCCTTTTCTAACCTTTTTCCAATACCTCTGCTTTCCTGCTTTCTATCAGGAGAGTATTCATCAGAATTACTAAAAAGCGGTTCCTCTGGGAATTTCCAAAATTTACCCAGCACAGGGCATCTCTGCTAACTCACCATGGACCCTACACTGGTACACTTCCAGGTGCTCTTTACCTTGACCAATTTTAAATCACACCAGAACAAAGATGCAGCTTACTCTAAACATGCCGTAAAAGCAGATTGGGTTTGATGTTCATTATAAACCTAGGAAATTAATGCCCTACAGCAAATGCTGGTGCGGCAGCTTGCAGCTGTGTTTGAGGAGATGTAAGTTTGAAAAAGAGGAAGGATAGTGATTTTTTTCACAGGTTGAACAGTTTCCCTTTCTTCTGCCAGCAACAGCAAATTCACCAAATACGCCTCCTACTATTGCGTAAGTAACAAAAAGGAAAACACGTTTTACAATCTTAACCAAAAACTAGAGCTAATCCCATGAAAATCTGCTATGGGAAAGTACAGGTTGGCACCTCTGCAAAATGCCATCCTTAAGATAAAGCTTCTCTCCAGTCCTCCCACCAGCTCCTCTGTTCCCTCTATGTAAAACCAAAATTCGACCTGGTTGGCAATTAGCTTGAAGCTAAGGGAAAGTCTCTTTTCCCTTAGAGGGCTACCAGAGTGGTTTAGAAGCAGCAGTAATATAAGTGGGCTCCTCCAAGCCTTTTGGGTTAATTTTAGGGAAAGACCTGAGAACTATTCACAAAAGCCCCATTGCCATCATCCCTACCCAATATCCCCCATGTCACTGAAGCAGTGCTACTGCACAGCTCCAAGGGCAGCCTGCGGCTTCAAATATTCGCACACTGAGGAGTATGAGAGTGACTTCCAGCTGTGTACTGGAAGCAACTGAAGAGTAAAATATAGCCAAAAAAATTTAAAAAGCCATCTGACCTTATATACATACATATAAACTCAGGCCCTATTCCTGTTGATGCTTGTTAGCCCCTCCTCAAACACATACACACAATTCACCACAGACTTTCTAATTAGTTGAAGAAAAGAAAAATCAATAAAAAAGAAAGAAATTAAAGTTACAAATCTAACTGAAGTCACTCACACACCCAGGGAAAATTTGTTCCTGGGGTAAAGTTTATCTAGTGTCATAATTTTATTGAAATCCTATATCTTCCTATTGACTTTTATCGTTTCAAGCTGGATGCCAGAGTTATCATTATTAGAGTCTCAGTGTTGCTTGCAGGCCTGAGGTTTGGGTTTGGTGGGTTTTTTTTCCTTTTATAAAACAAGCTGTAATTGTTTGGTTTATTGATCAATAAATCTTTCAACTGCCTCTGTTCACCCAGCTTCTGTTCTGGTAAGTCTCCTGCACCATTCTCTGAAACAAAATATGGGGTTGTTGTTTTTTAAAGAACAGATTGTTTTGTCATTAGCAATGAAAGAGCAGGAATTGTGCCGGTCGGTTCCGATAATGGCTTTTTAATGACAGATTCTAGTCACAGTAAAATCTGCTTTATTTCCACACGAGTGAACTTCAACTATTAATCCACAACCCAAACGCACAGCTCACTTGCTCTCTCACTTCTGCATGGGTTAGAGCCTGGCAGAGGAGACAGACTTTGTAAAGTGGAATCATAATGATATTTCCCACTCGGTGCTTTTTTGATGGTACAGAAATATTCCTGTTCCTAGCATTAGATGAGCTTTTTGTTTAATTAATGATAATTTTTGGAGAATGTTAATAGACTGCTTCATTATAAGAAATCAGTGGCAAGATTTCCCCCTCCTCTTCCTCTCCAGACTCCTAACTCCAAATTAGTTGTAATAAGAGAAAATTTTGAGACTGAAGCAAGATATGGAGCTTCAACATCAAACAGATGCTATTTGCAATCAGGTATAATTTAGCTAACTATTCCTCGTAAAAACACAAATAAAAAGAGAAATATGACTGTGTAACAGAGGTCTATGCTTTCTTGCTTTAAGCTATACAAATACATACAAGGAAAAAGGGAGATGGTAACTGGGGCTTGACCAGATGTTTAACATCAGTAAAATTAGCAGTGTGA